TTTTTTGCATGTTGCTTTATTTCCTGTAAACATTAAAAAAATTCTATGTAAACCAAATTATTAATTTGGTCATTATGAATGATTTTTAAGTATTTTAAAAACGGATTATTTTCGCTCTAAAAAAATTAAATTATCTATTTTTTCCAAATGTCGCTTATTAAACTTTTCATCAATTTTTTGTATCAGTTTTCACACTAATGAAATTTGCTTATCCTGAATTTTATACAATGGAATAGTGTGTGGTAAATGTTAATTGCTTTTAATCAAATATTGGGCAAATCTGAGCTTAGTTTTAGTATTATTAAAATTAATTAACAAAACATTTTGGCTTCATTTCAGAACCAAACATTTGGAATACATTTTATCGTCGATATTATCGTGCGAATTGCAGTTTGTCACATCAAATATCAATCGTTGAACGAATCGCCATTATTGCTTTCATATTTGCCTAAACCTGTGTCGGGTTGTAATCATCAAATGAATGAAAAATCCATTTTGTCAATGAACAATTGATTTTTGAAAGCGTAAAATGCAAGTCATAACTCTGCGAAATTAACTTTGAAAGCTCTGTCCCATCCAATAGATTCTGCAATAAATACAAAAGCCAAGAAGCTTTATTTCACAAGCCCTCCTTTTAAAATCGTCTATGACGACATTTTAATTAATTGAATTATTACGACGATCTTTAAAACACACCTCCAAGGAGAGCATTTCTGATATTACACCAAAAGCTCTAACGTTGTGATAATTCGATTAGTGAGAGAGGTAGCGGCTCCATGTATTGAACTATTATCCAATCAAATTATCATTTTGTTTAATAATTAATGTAAATTTTGGCTTTACATAACTCGGTTTTAATTAGGCAAATCCGGTGATTTCGTCACAAAGTGAAACACGAAACTTTGTCGAATAGTGATGATGAAACACTAGAGCTTGAAACATTTTTAATTTGTTGCTTTCTATTGATTGGTCGGAAGTGGAACGACGTCATTTTGGTTATCGCGTATGGTTGGTGGGACGCCGAGCGCCGCGACGTTCATATAAAACTGAAATCACATCACCCTTGCTTCATTGTAGTACGTGCGTCCTCATCTTCGTGATCTTGAAACTAACAAAGGTAAGAATACATTAATAAGAATAAATAAATGACTTGTAGACAAAAATATTTGAGTGAGAAAAATGGTGGATGCGCCAGGTTATTTGTATTTTTTAGTTTAAATTTTGTGTGCGTTTTGACGTGAGTTTATAAATTTTTGATAACGATGATTTAAAGCTCTATTTGTCTGTATTACGTAGGGGTGTTTTATAATGTAATAAAACATTGTTGCACACATCAAATCAATTTATTTTTACGTTGCTGAACATATTTTGTAAATATTTGTACATATTTGTAAAAAATTTGTAAATATTTGTCACAGTTACAAATCTATCAGGACTAAATCAGTTGCATTTGTATTTTTAGAAAGAAGTGAAGATTGAAAAGTTATAAAATAAGCTAACTTTTCTTGACATTTCTTAGTTTTAAACTTTTAGAATAAGAAAGCTGTTTTTTTAATTAAAAAATTGTACAAAATTATAACATATTTTTTTGTAATTATTATTATTATT